TTTTTTTTTTTTTTTTTTTTTTCTTCTTTTAAATGTGCTAACTTGGATTAGATTTTTGAGTACGAGAGTACAGGTTCAATCTTGCGGAGAGCATGTTATTTCAAATGGACACGTGAAGCTTGATATTTGACTAGATGGTGTGTTTCGAAAGGAAATTCTCCTTTTATCAGATTTTCAATCATTTGGATTGGAATAGCACGTGGTAACCATCTCGGACCAAGAGTGCATACGAAATTCGATTAAATTCTATAATACCTGAATGATTAACGAATATTTTAGCTTCTTGAACTTTCCTGGCATTTTATTTCAGTTTTTTTCAAGCTATTCTAGCCGAAGCGTTTCGTTTGAGGGACGACACGATTTTACAAATTCCATGGAAATTTATAATGAATAAGTGGTGCGATAATTTTGGCACTCCATCTAAAGAAATTTGATATCCTTTCAATGAATATTCGAATAAATACATAAATTCGGGTATAATATTCGAACTGAAATGGATGAGTATTTTTCTTACGTTGTTCCAGTACTCTATTTATATTAGAAGTAACTTTACATTTTACACTAGACATTCCTTTCTCGGAATCTCGACAAGTGATTATCCAGTTAACGCAATAATCGAAAAGCAGAAGCATGTTTGCAAAAAAAAAAATATATATATATATGTATAATCACCACGTCTCAGCCAACTTGTATTTATTTCACAATCGTCGTCGTCACCGCTGTCCGATTATTATTAAGTAAATAATCGGTCGCTCGATACTCGAGACCTCGAGGTTTCGCGTTCAAGGAAGAATTCCATCGGCTTTAGCCGGGGTAACGAGTTTACTAACCCCTTGGCATGTAGGTTAAAAGGAATCGATGAGATTGCACGGCGTGCGAGCGGCGCATATGCATCGCTCGCACTGCAGCCTGTGCAACTATCGCCGTAGGAACCGCGGTTAACCAGGAGTCGCAGGCCGGTCGGTGTTAACTTCGTTCGCGAATCACGGCTCAATTATTTCCAGCAGAGAAACCGGCTGTTTAGCGATCGCCGGTCGATCGAGCGAGTGGGAATAGCGTTGGTCGTGCGCGGCTGGTTAATTCGTTCGTAATACTACGGAATAATTCAGAACGTCGCGCGGTATAAAGAGAGATTTTCTTATACAACTGAGAACTTTTCAATTTGTCTGGAGAAATTGTCGAAAAGAGCAGGCGAAGTGATCGAAGGAGAAAGGGGGAGTTTGGTTAAATACGAGGTTATTAACAGAGTGGTAATTATCGATTACTGGGGCGTTTCACTCGAGGTGCAATTAAAGTGTTCGTTGTTAGTGTGAAGAACTTGTGTCCCTCGTTAAGTCGCTCTATATTGTTTGACTATATTTTAATAATTTAAAAAATTCGAAGATAAATGCAATTGCCGCTGCTACAAAAAATGTTCACGAGAATATCAAGCGTCAATCGACAAAATCATTGCAATAAAATCGTTCGATAGTTCGACTGCACAATCTCTTAACAAAGCCCAAATAAAATTACTCGAGATTACATTGAAATTGCCGATAGTGTGTAAAAACGATCGTGTAAGAATTCGTTGATCGTCAAGTTCATTTGCTCTCGAGCAACCTTTCCCCTGAAGGGAAGATATGATAAAGCTAAGAGAGAATTACGCGCGGTTGTCGCAGGCTCGCTTTCAGCAGAAGCAACTGCAGGAAAAGGAGCAGAAGTTGCTGCAGCTTTACGACCAGCAACAACAACGAGCTTATCAAGTGGTGCAACGAGGCAGCGCCGGTTCCAACGGCTCGAATCATACGGCCACCATCAGCCAGCACACCATCACAAAGACCTCGAGCAGCAGCCATACAACCTCGACCTCGCAAGGTGGAAAGGTGAGCGATTCCTCGCGTGGAAACTTGCGGCGCGTTTGTCGTAACGCGGTTTCACGCTACGCTTTCTTGAATGGGCTAATGGCCGCTGTTTCGTGGCTGGAAATCACAACGTATCGCCCTTTGAGCCCTTTCATTCCTTTTCACACGAAACACGCCTGTTTGTTCAACATCCGAGTCAGTTAAAAAGAGGCTGGAAACGTAATTATCACGATTTCCTTGATTGCTACAGATTGAGCGTTCGATATAAAATCACAGTAGTTGCTACAGTATAATTATGAGTGTTCAAATGAGTGAATAAGCTTTGAATATTTTGTTTCATTTTTTTTTTTCCTACACGTATCTTTATGTGTAGGTTAATGTATAATTATTGTAGTTCATCACTCTCAGATAGTTTTAATAAAGTCTAACCCGAAATTACGCCAACCTTGGAGATGAAATTTTAATGGCTTAGTAATAATTTCTTTGGCACACTTCAGATTTAGATTAAATATCACGTTTCATCGTGAAATCAGTAATATTTACGATCTACATCGTGCTTTTATTTCTTATTACACACGCTAAAGAGTAGTTAAGAAAACTACAGAAGCAACACGTATATATAATTATCACAATTTACTATGTTGGCATAACTTTTTCAAATAGTTTCAACGAAACCAAGTCACTGATGATTTAATAATTTCCTTGACACGGTCGTAACATTTCTGACATACGAAAAACTCAATCAACTGATTTGTCAGATAATTATCACATTCTATGATATACTAGGATCAATTACAAATTACAAACGTGATGATAATAGCCTTTCATTATCAATTAATATTTAATGTATAATATACGGCGTATCGTGTGAAATATTTGAGAAAAATATTTGAGCATTTCGATTGATGAAAGCAAGATTGATGGTTGCGTTTATTTATTGAAGGAAGGTAAAGGTTTTTGACGAGCCTTGACCGCAATCTTGAGAATCCGTAAGTGAACGTTGTCGGATCTGGAACCAGTTTGTCGGGAAGTGAAATTATGTCAACAAGTAAAGCTGCAAGTAGCATTTGAACGAACTTGTTCTGAAAATTCGTTCCAGTTCGCGAAGATCGGAAGATAAAAGATATAAAAGATAGAATGTCTTCTCGGACAGAGTAAAATTTCATGTATATTCTTTACAATTTTGTGTTGTTTCAAAGTGCATAAAAATCCAGAACAGTCTCAGTATCTGGCAACAAAAATCTATTTATAAACTACTGGACAATTCCGCCATTTTATATAATATTTTAAATTAAAAAAAAAAAAAAAAAAATTGAAATTTGAAGCTCATATATATATCATATAGAGTATATACCAACGTTTTACTCAATAATTAACTTGAAAAAAAATTCGCAAACTTTACCTAATTTTACATCCCCTCGAGCTTGCAAAGCTTATACAGTTTCTTCTCGCTGAAAGTAAGAACTGAATTAAAAAAAAAAAGAAATGATCACCCGTTGTGCATTCCAGCAACCAGCGACTAAAAAGATTACACTTGTTGCTCAAGGTGAGGCAGATGTTCGACGAAAGACGGCAAACAACGGTGAAAGGCATCGACAGAAGTTATCCACTGGAGCCGTTGGAGAACAAACCGCGGAAACAGGCGAACGGAAACAGCGTGCAGAAGAACGGAAATTTGACGGTGAACCGACAGTCCGTGACTGTGAGGCGGGTTGCCCGGGCTGACGTGAACAGCAATTTGAACGGTGGCAAGCCGGTCGTCTCGTATCACGAGGAAATCACTCGAGAATCGTTCGGCCCGTCTGCACGCCAGCATCAAGGAGGCGACGAGTTTGGAAACGAGAACCACGTCGCGCGATATACGAACGGCGACCATCGAGACGGGGTAACACGCGATTTTCCAAGCGAAAAGACGGAATTTTTACTGTCGAAATAGGATTGCTTGACACGTTCGCCACGTGCACGCGTCACGGATTCAGAGTTGCCGCCGCCGATATTTTTATCGCTCGTCAAATAGCGAGTATCGAAAGTTTGGAACGATCGGAACGATACTGTCGCGATATAAATTGCGAAATTGTTTCCCTCGGCTTTCTGACACCATGTTGGCGGGACTCAAAGCAGATTGAAACATCGACACCTTTGTCTTTCGTTTCGATCTGGAGTTCAAAGGAAATTTCTCAGTAATAAATCTTCGACGAAAATTTCTAAAATATATTTCGACAATTTTACTAAAAAATAGTCACTCGTCACTTTCTCAATATTGTCACGTAAGGAATTTATTTACGATTATTGAATATGCGATAAGATCGATGTTGATAGATTATTCTATATATTATTTCATTTAAAAATACTTTTTACCCCATTGTTGAACGTTAAATACACGTTCTTCGTCTCACAAGTTTTACTTGAATGATTTAATTATTTCTAACCATTCCAGATACGCATCGAGGAAGCTTTGGACGAAGATATGATAGAAAGGAATCGCATGATGGCGAAACTTCACCTGATGGAGTACGACGAATCGCTGAAGCATCGTGTTAAAAACGACCTCGAGAGCGAGGAATTCCCGGACGACTTTATGCTGGATGTTCCTGACAAGCTTCCAAAACAAAGTGTTACCAAGAAGTTATCTCAAGCGGAGGCCAGGTTGGAGCGCTTTAAAAACGCCAACGTGAAACGTGGTAGCTACGTTACAAAGAACCCAACTATCGCCCCAAAAAAACGATCTGACCCAATATTCCCAGCAAAATCTACTTCCAGGTACGTAGACATACAAGCAGAAACAACATGGAACATTCGTGAATCGTAAAAATCGTACATTGATAAAAACCATTTGCAAATTATTAAAATCATTAGGATAAAAATCTTTATTTCATTTAACATGTTAGAGTATATTATACATACATTGATCTCATCAATTAAATATAATAAAATTATTTGATAGATTTTTATCGATCTGCACAGTTTTTACTACTATTTTGATTAATTTTATCGTATCTGTTATTATTCAGACGTTACGATTTCTTAGAGCTGAACATGACTCCACAGTATCATGAAAATTACATGATACCATAGTAATAACTGCTCTTTATAATTTGCGGCAAAAAATTGTGAAGGCTGGAACATAATTATTACGATTTACTATGTTATCACAATTCTTTCGTACAGAAAAATATAAAATTCTAATGGGTTGACAATTTCTTTGATACTTCACATTAAATGTCACGTTTCACAAAGTGGACGTTGAATTGAAACGAGAACGGCATACCTTCACATTTAGGTGCATCATGTTTGCAAAAATAACTTGCATCATATTTGCTCTAAGTAAAATTCATTTGCACGAACGTTTATTATTTACGAATGTATAAATATTTATAAATTTTAATTTGTATATTTCAACCATTGAAAACATCAAAACAGAATATCTACGGACGATAATATTTTTATAATAATTTCGAGAAACTTTCTATTTGTCCGACGGAAAAATTTTTATCATCTTGTTTATCTAGTAGCTACCTGGAAGCATGAAAGCGTAATAATATTTCATATCGGGCGGTAAAAATGGATTGAAATTCAGAAGCGATTCTCGAAAGTCGTTCTTAACGATGAAATAAATTAATTAGGTACTGTTAATTAGGTAATTGGTGCGCATATATGTTTAACGCGCATTTAACATTCTACAAGATTTACTACGTATGAATTTCGAGATAATAATTAATTTACTTATAATAATAACATTTAAAAATTAATTACACGTTTACGTACGAAAGAGCCAAATCAATCAAATCGATTTTCAATTTTACGACGAAGCTTACAACAAATTAAAATACAACTTTCGATGCACATTTCAACCAAAGATCGTACAAAAAAAATTACAATATAACTGTGGATGTTCATGCACTTGCAAAAGATATAAAAGTCCTCCAAGAGTTCACGTAACATCATAATATTAATTGTAATAAGTTTTGCTTAGGTTCCGTTTTCCACGATTTTATCTCGCACTACAGATTTTATTTCCGTGTAATGTCAGCAGTCTAACTGTAACAAATTTTACAACAAATCTTTCTCCTGTACATTAAGACATTAAAAAAAAAAAAAAAAAAAAAGAAAAAGAAAAAGGAAGGAGAAAGATGTGTAGTCTGTCTGGACAAGTAGATCATGTTTCCCGATAATCGAATCGAACCTTGACAGATGCGAATTCTCTGGCCGCTAATTGGCAATTAGTGCTAACAATCCGTCGCTGCTTTCGCCCCGCCACCATCCCTTCTCTCTCTCTCTCTCTCTCTCTCCTCTCCGCCGATTAATTTCTCGTTGCATAATTGCGATCGCTGACTAGGCTCGACTCGTTTAAACCCACGCAACCGTAGTCGCCTAACAATACATGCTCCCTGGAAGTGATCACCCTTGAAAGAACAACTAAATGACGCGTTTCCTGCCGAAGTTAAAGGCGCAGCGTCTCCGGTTTGTCGCAAGAAGGAAGATGCTCCCTCTTTAATTTATATGTCCGCCTTTAACATTAAAGCTATCGGAGAAAGAACAAATGGCCGGAGGACCATTGTCACGCATCCATCATCAGCATAACAGCCAAGCGCAGAATCATACGGATCAACGTCGATTAAAAAAGAAAAAAAAAAAAAGAACCAAAGTATCTCGTAAGACAATTAATCGCGATATCGCAGTATCATCGACGAATGAACACGAATTCAGTGAACGCGAAAAGTGTTATTAGAAAAAATTGAAATGATCAAGTGATTCACGTTAAGTAAAATAATGATAAATGTTAATTTAACGTCGGAGGAAATATTAGGGTTTAACTTTGCTCTACCAAAGTGATACCACCGTGTAAGATACGATGAGATGATCTACGCAGAAATATTATACTAAATATTAAATCGAAATATTAGAGTAAAGTAGTTTACTTTGCCTTGAGTGTTTCTAGTCTTCTAGCAAGTTCAACTTTCACGCGAGCGAACCGATCGTCTCTGAACATTTTTGCGTATCATCTCCATCTCGAATGGAACGTGTGTTCCTGCTTCCTATTGGATTGAACTTGAACTCTGACGTGTTCTCTATATTTCAAAACGAAGGAACACATCGATGGCATTTGATGTTGTACGTGGCTTTCCCTGAGGCTTCCCTGCGTAACCAACATTTCTCTTTAACAAAATAAGATCGATCGGTTGTAGGATCAAACAGTCGAGGATCGGAATGTATATCATGTCACCCACTGACTCACTCTCACCTCCGCCATCTTCTCCGTGTCGGCTAACCATAATCGCAAAAAGCAGGATTAACACGAGCGAGATCAGCATTGTAGAGCAAGAAGATTGAGTAACAAAGGCTAAGCGCGGGGAAACAAGGATATCCGAGGCTTTTGCAAGTTTATAAAAGCAGAGCGTGGAGTGTGTTACATTGATTGTGATTTCATAGCGAGGATCGAGCGACCAAGACCGGGTCGTACGAGGTTCCCGATGGA